ATCTAAAACAGTTCTAGAAACAGTTCTAGAAACAGTTACTGAACTAGCTGGTATATACTTGCAGTTTAGCTGGTAAACATTTGCTGATCATTCAGTCAACATAGGATCAAGAATGATTAAGATCTTCAGATTTATATTTGAAAACAAGATTTTAATAACAATTCCTGCTCAAAATTACAAGATGCTATTAATTTTTTAACGCATATTGCAACAGTTTAGCTGGTAAACATTTGCTGATCATTCAGTCAACATAGGATCAAGAATGATTAAGATCTTCAAATTTATATTTGAAAACAAGATTTTCATAACAATTACTGCTCAAAATTACAAGATGCTATTAATTTTTTAACGCATCCATGATATAAGTTCTACTATACCACAGGAAAAAATAAATATACCACAAGGAATTGTTTTCCGAGCATTTGAATGTGTGCACTTTCAAGATCATCATATAGGAAAATAAGGGAAGATTATAAACTTCCAAGTAAATTTCTTCTAACAAAGCTAACTTCAAAACTGAATTCTTCAATTGGTGATAAAGCGTTTGTAAACTCAGTTTTTTCAAAAACTTGAAAATGAAACTCAAAAAAGGTGTTTGTTATCGATTGACAAAGTTTACGACAAACCTTCTCTTACTTACCATGCTTGCTCAATTTTTGGAAAAGCAAAAGTAAGTAAACCAGACTCTTTAGCAACTACTTTTTAAAGTTTTATGTTAGTGTCACTTTATAGAGGACCACAATATCTATGCAGAATTTTGCCAGTTTTTGATCTTGATTCCAAATTTCTGTTTCAACAAACTTTTGTTTTAGAGGGAATTAAGAGCGGTGGAGGGATACCGGTTGCCATAACATGTGATAATAATTGTGTAAGTTAAGCAATATTTAAAATATTTCAATGTGTTGATCTATGGTTGAATAAAGACAAAAATATGTTTTTGTTTGTAAGACTTTGTGCGTCAACTTAAATCTGTTATGAATATAATGGGGAAATACGTTATGAATATATCGGGTTAACTAAATATAAAAATAATGTGCAAATAGGTAGAAAAGCAGGATTAGTATATATAACTGGGTATATCGTGCCAAATGAAGTTGAAGAGCAAGAAGAAGCTAAACTTTATAAGAAGAGTTCGGCAATTATGTTGCTAAAATTATTTGTGAAGGTTTAAAAATACTAAACGGCAATGTTTGTCAGTGGACCATATTTTGTTATGTTTTGCTTCATAAAATTGCTAATGTCTCCTGAAAGCCACTAACCAATGTTTTAATAATAATATCAGAGTCTTATCTTCAGAGTCATAACTTGTTCAGACATTGAAAAAACTGCGCTGAATGCAAAATCTGTAACAATTTGATAGGATATTTAACAAAATATCAGGATAATTAAGACTAACGCAACAACATAACATCACATGTTGTTGCGTTAGTCCGCTAACGCAGTAGCCAGTAGGTTTCTTGTTATTGTATGTATAGCGGAGTGCAAAGTCACACTCGCTCTTTTACGTCTCTTACGTCTCTTATGGGATTTACGTCTCTTACGTTTCCTTAATCTCTACGAGCTGTACGTTGAGCACTTGGTGCGATCCAAGTTTATAATTGTATACAACGAGCGTATCTTCATGAAATATATATGAATGTAATCTTATCTATGTGATTTATTGCTAGAGTCCCTTCTAAACTCTTTACATATAACACATAATCTTGTTTGCTATAACATTTTTATAAAAAGAAACAAACTCAAATAATATTTCTCTACGCAACAAATAGGTTTCTACCTACTTTAAGAACTATGTTATAATACTATCTGCGGTTTCATAGAGACTTAATAGTAGTATTTTTTGCTTTTTTCCTTTGTTTTTTATAGATCTTTTTGTTTTTAATATGAATTCATAATTTTGTATGTCTATTTTATAGGAAAACTTATTTGAACATTTTTGCTAAATCTCAAGTTTTTAAAGCTTTAATATTTGACTTTTCCCAAAAAACGTCAAGCGCGCAATGCATTGTGGTTGTTGTATTTATTTAAATCTAAACAATCTGCGCAAAATTTTTCTTGAAATAGATAATATTATAGTGATGAGTTCTTTTAATGCTAATTTAAAAAAAAAAATTGATGCTAATTCTTCTCAGAGCTCTTGTCTAGCATCTAAAGCTGGTTTTCGTGAACTTGACCATGACGAATTCGTTACTGTAGATGAAAAAGAATCTATAAGCAACAGTATTTAAACTTGCACAAGAAACATTTTATTTTTGTCAAGTATAACTTGTAATCAAGGAAAACTTTATTAATTGACTATATCTATAGATAATTGTAAAAGAGGAGCCAAAAAGCATCAAATACTTGGCTATCTTTTATTTAAAGAAAATTATGCAAAAACTGTATTTTTCTACTGGTGAAGTACTTTATGCTAAATGCGATTGTAAAGCTGATGCAGGAGGCTGTTGAGATCGTGTTTCTGCATCATTATACCAACTAGTTGACTATAAAGAGTCAGACAATAAAGTGATCCAAGAAATCGAAACGTAATGCGTAATGTTTTTTCTTCTTATTTGCTATGAAGAGAATTCAACGTTGGTTTTTATTTCATATTTATTTCAATATTTGTATATTAAATTATTGCAACTAGTTTAAATATTAAACTATGCGTAGTTTCGTGTCGAACCTACAACTGTCCTAAAGTTCAGCGCAACGGCTTATAAGTGAGAATTCATCGAGCAGAATTCTCTCAAGGGAATACTTTCGTAATCAGTTTTCGTGCAATTCGCAAATGGGATTTGCTTGTTTTGCAATCGCTGATTGCTAATCTGAACTAGCGTTATAAACGATTGTCCAGAGGGAACTGTTTTGCCTAACAATCATTACTTTATGCTGACATTTTACAGTTATGGCATGTTTCAGGTGAATCAACCAACTCTGAAGCAATTTTATTTTCAAAATTTTGAAAAACCTGACCCTTTTAAAGTCAAAAATAATACTCGAAAAAGGTCTTGAGCTTCAGGAACCCGTAAATATTGTTCATTACCAAATTCTTATGAAACTTTAACTTTACATCTTCAAACACTTTGTGAAGGTTTAGAAAATCTTTGCCAGAGGACATATTTTTCCGAAATAATTCGTGATAACAATTGTGAAACATGTACATTTTTTATTTTGTCCATGTCAATAATTATAGAAAATGATATTGCAGAACCTTTTTGTAAAAAAGATGACATATCAATTATTAATACTCTATTTGATAATTTAGAATATAAGATTGATTTTTCTTGTTTGTCTTCTGAACAAAAAGCATTTGGAGAATTATATTTAGGCGTTGACGTTAAAGAAGCATAAATTATTGAAGTCAATTCAGTTAAGCAATTCAAAAGCAAATTATGGCATCAAGAATGAAGCAAACAAAAAACAGCGTCAAATTTTGGTAGTGTGAAGAATAGATATAAAAAAATTTACACGTGTCTATTTTGAAAGAAGCTCTACAAACTAAAAGTGTAAAAGTAGGAGAAAGCTGTATATGGGCAACAACATAACAAAGTCAAGTGTTACACAATGTCGTTTTTTTATAAACCCCAAATGAGTATTTGTAGTTGATGAAGTAGTAAGTTCTGAAAAAGTAATTAAAGTGAAATGCCCTTGATCAAAAAAACATTTAACAATTGAAGAAGCATGTCAGGATAAAAACGTTTGTTTGAAACTTAGCAACGGTACTCCAAAATTAAAAGTAAAGCATCCTTAAAATTATTAGAGTCAAGGTGTTATGGCACTAACAAAAAGTAAAACAATTGATTTTATTGTTTATACAGAAAAAACATTGCACATCGAAACAATAGATTATAATGCGGATTTATAGAATTTTATTTTTCCTGAGTTGACTGATTTTTATATCAATTTTATGTCAAGATAAAACATTTAAAATAAAATAATTATTTACAAAATATACGTAAAATCCAATTGCAAATGATATTAGTTTTTACATGAAACTGTTCGCCTAAATTAAACAGCAACCCTTTAGATGTTGTGGTCATCAAATGCAAAACATAATCTAAACAGAACTTTGCTAGAAATTATTATTATTTGGCAGTGGCAGGGCACTCAGTGAATGGCTGTTTTTGCAAGTACCTATTATTTATAAAACTCGCAACTATTTCCTATCATTAAACGACGAAAATGTTTTATCATAACATACCACCTATAGATTTTAAGTATCAAATTTGTTAAAATATAAGTAAATATATTTAATGAATCTATTTTTATGCAGGTTTCTCGTATTTCGATTTCGGGTTTCAATCTGGTATTCGGCCGAACAGTTTGCAATAATCGACCGAATTTATAGACACTTTAAACTTTATTGAACTCTTTAATTCTCTTTTTTTTAGTTACTTAAATACTTCATATATGATATTATTTATTATTTAACTTCATAAACAAATTGAATATTTTTTTCTAACATGCGTTTTAATTTTCATAATGAAGGGAAATAAAAAACAACAACAACAAAAACAACCAAACAAAAAAGACGGAATGACTTTTTCTGTTTAAAAAAAAGCATGAATGTATATATGTATTTATTAAAACATGTATATATGTTTATATAAAGATCTAGAAAAAAAAAAAAATGTTTATGTATATATACACACACATACATACACATATATATATACATATACATATACATATATATATATATATATATATATATATATATATATATATATATATATATAATATACATATTTAGATATATATGTACGAATATATAAATAAACATATGTTTATATGTATATAATAATATGTATATATTATAAATATATTAAACATTCAATAAATGATATATATATATATGCATATATATATATATATATATATATATATATATATATATATATATATATATATATATATATATATATATATATATATATATATATATATATATATATATATTTATGTATATTTATATACATATATATATGAAATAGTTCAAAAAGGATGTTGTGCTTCACCTTTATAAAGCAGACACGTATAAAGTTCTCAAATTCTTTTTTGTGTCCACCGCTATAAAATTCACTGCATGGAATGATAGCCAAACCCTAAAAAGTATTCATGTTAAAAATTTGATACAAACAAAGAAAAGAAGTATGTCCTATATTCTTTTAAATGAACTGTTTTAACATTTTTTTTTTTTTTACTTTTGAAATACAAACCATTCACAAATATAACCCTACTTATTTCCTACAGGTATACAACAAAATTAAAACCAAAAAATTACTTATATATAAAGATTATTTTTAAAATTGTTAACAAAAAAAAATATAAAAATAAGTTATAAAAATATAAATAAGATTTTGTAAGAGAAACACTAATTAAAAACACATACTGAAATATATATACGGAAATATATATACGGAAATATATATATACGAAATATATATACGGAAAAAAACACATACTGAAACTTTTTAGTCCCTGTGTAATAAGATTAATATATATATATATATATACATATTATAACTAATATATTATGGTTAATGCAAAAGAATTCAAAGACGCTCTGGATGCACTGGAGAGTAAACTAAGAATTGAATATGAATCAAAGATTAGTAATGCTGTAGCAGATTTGAAAAAAACAATACAATCATTAGTATTAACAGTTGCTGATTTAACTAAAAAGAATGAAGATTTAAACAACAAAGTTGTAAATGTTATTGTTCCTGCTCCGAATGAAGCTTGGAATATTGTAACAGGTAGAAAATTAAATAAAATTCAATCTCAGATTGATATTATTAATACAGTTTCGAATGAAAATAAAGAAATCGAACGAAGAGAGAAGAACGTAATTATTTTTGGTTTAAAAGAATCCAATAAAACTGATGGCGCAGATATAAAGAAAGATGACGAAAACAAAGTATTAGATTTATTGGATCAAGTATCAATAGATAAACTTCATATGGTTCGTATTTTTAGATTAAAATCTAAAAATGGTATTGCACCAGTAATTGTCGAGTTAAGAAATAAGGACATGAGAAATGACTTTATAAAAAAATCATATCGTAAGTTTAATGGTATTTATGTAAATCCTGATTTAACTGATGCTCAGAGAAACTTGGATAAACAACTCAGGGATAAATGTAGAGAATTAAATAAACCACTTAACCTAAAAGTCGATTGGGACCAAGTTAAAAGCTATCACGTAATTAGAAATAAACAAGTAGTGTTGATAAACAAATAGCAATTGTTGTTCAAGTCATCACAGTATAACACACATAATTTTAAACATTCTTTACATACACCTTGTCAATATATATATAACCAATTAAATAACCCTGATGCAGACACTGGAGGAAGTAGTCATTTGAACTCAAGTGCTAATACACTGCTGGTAAAGAAAATGAATCAAGACCTTCAAAAAGGTTTAAAAACAGAAAATATCGATTATTTAACATGTTGGTATACAAATGCGACCTCTTTAAATAATAAATTTGATGAATTCATTGATGATATATCCAGATCTAAGGCTCAAGTTATATTTGCTTGTGAGACTTGGTGGTCAGCAATGTCTACTACTAATATTCCTGGTTATAATCTGTTTAGAAAAGATCGTCAATTTAGTCGTGGTGGTGGTGTATGTATGTATACAAGAGAATATTTAATCTTATGAAATAAATGAAAAATATCTAATAAATGAAAATATTGAGCAAGTATGGTGTTTGATTGAAATTGGCAAAGAGCAAATCTTATGTGGTTGTATGTACCGGACAGGCCTTAGTAATAGTGAAAAGTGTATTGACATTATAAAATCATTAAAACAAGCATATGTACTCAAAAAAAATAACAAATGCTCTGGTATTTTAATATGTGGTGACTTTAACTATGCAAACATCAAGTGGAACGATGAAAGTTTTAGTGAAGTTATAAATGACAGTGACACAACAGCAAGTATGTTTATTGAGTTGTTACATGACTGTTACCTGCACCAAAATGTTATCAGTCCTAGTTTTCAAGTAAAGTTTGGTATTGATACTAACATTTTAGACCTCATTTTGACTGACAATAGCAACAGAGTTTATTTTCTTGAACATTTTCCACCGTTAGGTGGTATCGATCATGGTCATCATATTTTGAAATTTCGATTTGGTTATGAAAATAAACCTAATTTATTAATATCACTACAAACGAGGAAGAAAAAATTTTTGTGGAAAAATGGAAACTATAAAGCGTTAGATTTGTATTTTAATAACATAAACTGGATAAATGAATTTGAAGGACTAAGTGTTAATGAATGTTACGAAAAATGGCTAAGAAAATATGAAATAGGATGTGAAAAATATATCCCAACGCTAAATTTAGATAAAAACTCTTTTCAACTAAAAAATAACTCACTATGGATGACAACTGAACTTAAAAGCATGTGTAAAGAAAAGAAAAAATGTTGGTTTAGAAACAGAAATTCAGGTTTTAAAAGTCTTTTAGAAGTCAATAAGTATAAAAAATTAAATAAAGATATAAAAAAACTTGTCAAGAAAAGTATTCGCAATTTTGAAAAAAACTTGGCACTTAATTCAAAAAGCAATCCTAAAAGTGTCTATGCTTATATAAACAACAAAACAAGATTTAAAGACTCGATCAAAGCCATAAAGCTACATAATGGTATTATAACTACTGATAATCAAGAGATAGTAAACACTCTTAATGAATTCTTTGCTTCTGTGTTTATACAAGATGACTCACCAGAAGAAGTTTTAGATGACAATCTTTTAACAAAATGTTCTGATCCAGATTTTAGTATTTCTCTTATTCGGAAACATTTGAGTAATTTAAACATGTACAAATCAGTAGGTCCAGATAATGTTCACCCAAAAGTTTTAAAGGAATGTTCAGAATCTTTGTCAAGTTCTTTAGCAATAATATTTGTTAAATCGTTTATTACAGGATCTATTCCAAAGTTATGGTCATGTGCAAACGTTGTTCCGTTATTTAAAAAAGGAAATAAACTAGATCCAACAAATTATAGACCGGTTTCATTAACATCAATTGTTGGTAAAGTTATGGAGAGAATTATTAAAGATCATATGATGGTGTTCCTCATTGAAAACAATTTAATTTCTAAAGAGCAACATGGTTTTGTATAACAGGTTTGTTATACAAAAGTTGTATAACAAACCTGTTAGAAACATTAGATTTAATCACGCAAGCGTATGAAGAGGATATTTCTGTTGATGTTTTATTTTTGGATTTTAAAAAAGCATTTGATTCAGTCTCTCACACGAAATTACTGAAAAAATTATTCAGACTAGGATTTGTATCATCTTTGTTAAATTGGTGTAAATCATTTTTGTCAGGCTGAACACAGAGAGTTGTAATAGGGGAATATATTTCAAGTTGGAAGATGGTTACTAGTGGAGTACCACAAGGTTCAGTACTCGGACCTCTTTTGTTTGTAATCTTCATTAATGACTTATGTAGAGGGATTATTAAAGACACTAAATTATATGCAGACGATACCAAAGTTATTTCAATCAATCATTGTTATGATGATAATAAAATATTACAAGAGGATATTAACAGGTTAGTTAAATGGTCTGAAGATTGGTTAATTACATTTAATGAATCAAAATGTAAAGTCATGTATATTGGCAAAAAGAATCCAAGATATGAATATAAATTGAACAACTCTGTTTTAACAGAAACAATGATAGAAAATGATCTTGGGATTTTCATTTCAAATAATCTAGAGTGGAAATATCATGTTAATTCAGCTATAGGTAAAGCAAACAGAAAATTAGGCATGATCAAAAACTCTTTTGAGTATTTGGATGAACTTTCATTAAAGTTACTATACAAATCGTTAGTACGTCCCCATTTGGAATATGGAGCAACAGTTTGGAGTCCATTTTGGAAAAAGGACATTGACAATCTTGAAATCGTGCAACACAGGGCTACGAGAATTGAATCTTTAAGGGGGAAGTCGTATGAAGAAAGATTAAAGATACTTGAATTGCCAACTTTGTTTGATAGAAGAAGAAGAGGTGATCTGATTCAAATGTATAAGATCTCAAAAGGAAAAGATATTGTTAATTTTCACCATCCTCCTTTAAATTTTGAGCTGGAGCGATCTAGTAGAAGTAACAATTGTAGAATACGCAGACAATTTACAAAATCAAGAATTCGTCACCATTTCTTTACAAACAGAGTTATAAATGATTGGAATTCTCTTCCACAATGGATATTAGATAAAGATAATTTGAACATTTTTAAAAACAGTATCGATAATTATTTCGGTTTCTGAACACTAATTTTTGTAATCGGCTGTCATAGTCTTAATTCTACGTAATTAAGACTCTACACACCTCAAGTGTGTACAGCACCTTTTCTATTCTATTCTATTCTAAAAAAAAAAATATAACATAATTTTAAACTTTTTTAAAAATTTGTAAAAAAAAAAGAGGTCTTACTTTATCTTTAATCAGCCATTGTTGGACTATCTTATCGAGCGGAGTACCATCGTCATATCCACTTCGATCAACATCTTTATAAAAGAAAATTAAAAAAAAAGTCAAATCAGTAATGCGCCAGGTCATATATAAATAAGCTAAGAAAAAGTATAACTTACTCAAACCAGTAATATCAACTAGCATAAAGTAGCCACCGTCTGGCATAATAGGCTTCAATTTAGCTTCTTTAACAATATCATACATTTGTTGACGTTTGCCAGTCATAATTTGACGCAACCAATGCCAATAAGAATCAGGCGTACCTAAAAGCAGTTTTTCATGCTTGAATGTTTCAGCCAGAGCTATCTAAAAAAATCATTAAAATCGATAAATCAGGAACGGATCCAGGCTGTAGCAAGTGAAGCCATTGCTACAGTCAGCTCAGCTTAACTTCTCTTCTTATTTGTTACATACATTTCTTTTTTCATGTAACAGAGAAAAATAATTTAACTTAGGTATGGAGGTTACATGTAGTCAAAATGCGGCGCTTCAAAAATTTATTCGAAATCGTAGATGAGCCAAGTTAAATATGATACGTAAAAAATTCATTCGGAAAAATGAAATGCTTCACTGAAAAACCCATGCATTTAACAGATTTTGTCTCACAAGCCCATAAATTTTTGAAAGAATGTCAAATATTTCGCAGCGTATCAATTTAAATTGAACTGGGAGTTAAATAAACTGTAGCAAAAGTCAATATGTCATGTTTTAAAACGACTCTATATATACCCCCGATACTTTATTATAAACTTAGCTTATTCAGCTCAAATCTTTTTATTAACAAGGAGGTCTTACGTAGTGACTAAAAGTCATTAAGCGAGAACCTGTACCGAAAACAGAAAATTTGTAGTAGAGGCAGAAGATCTGTTAAATATCCACTCTCCGATTATAAAACTTTCTTTTTAACGATGTGGATAGCAATCATTAAATGAATAAGATTTTATAATTATTAAGATTAAATTAAATACCGACTTTTGGTTTCTTTACTTAGTCTATTATGAAAATGGTGAAATTTGTTTATGTTTATAAAAAATGGTGAAATGTGTTTGTTGTTGTTCCACGAGTTATTTATTATTGATGAAGCCAAACGATTTATAAACGTTTTAAAAAATTTATAGATTTTCCAGAGACAAAAAGAAGAAAACACGTTAAATAGATTGTTTGTCTAATGCGAGTTTTAAAACGTCTAGCAACATTTTAGTATATGATCTGGTTGGCATAAAAACTTCAAAAAAGTTAAACTAAAAAACACTTTTGCACAACTTTTCTCTCAAATAGATTTTTAGTCTAAAAATGGAAGGAACTTTTTACTAGCAACTATTATTCTCTGTGACAAGGGGTATGTTACAAAAATGTTATTGTATCGGGAAGTTGCTGTTTTCGGAAAATCAATGATATGAATTTTCTTTCAAAAAGTGTTTTTAACTTTAACAAGACAGGTGATTTTGTTAAACTTGCTGTCACATAATGAAAAACTCTCAAGCTAAAAAGTGTGGTTTAATAACAATCAACAAGCTTCCCCAAGGATCTAAATGATAAACAAAGAAAGTTAATGAATTTGGCAATACAGCATAATGCATTAAAAAAAAAAAAAATCAGAAATTAGGCATACAATACCAACATAAGTCACAAGACATTTCGCAAATTATACATGCAAAGAAATAGTCTAGCTGATTAAAGCGCTATTAAACACTTTTGTTGCAAACTTTTTACGTTGGTAAAATTTGTGACAGAATTACTTGAAAATGAATTTAGAAATTTAAGTATCTGTAGACATATTTTTTAAGTATTCTTTGAAACCAAAGATGTCTCATGTTTATAATAACATGCATTTTGAAAATATGATTTGCTTCATGATATGAAATTTTGACCAGCATGATGTTTTATTTTTTAAACTTTGGTCAATGTCTAAAATCATTTGAAATAGGCGGATTAAAACGTTCTTTTCACAATACTGTTTAATGGCTTTTCTTCAACTTCATTAAAGATAAAGTTTGTTTGACTTCAATATTCAATACTTTTATGCTTTACTGCATCACTTTATAAAAATTGAGTGTTATCACCACAATTTGCTTTCCTATATCATTTTATTGAAAACCACTGCACTACAACAAAATTAAACAAAGAACTATGTCATTTTAAACAAAGAACCATCATATTAAATTTGTCTTGTTAGGTTGACATTTATTCATTGACACTTTTGTTTTTATTATTTGCTGTTATTATTATTTTTATTATTTTGTTACCGTTTTTATTATTTTGTTTTTATTATGCTGAGATTTGTTAATTGTATCGTTGTTAATTGTAAGATGCCTGAAGTTTGCTGTTTTGGGATTTTAAAAGCATTCTTTCTTTATTTAAAGCAGTATACTTTTTATTCAAAAAGCAACGTTTGGTTCTATTTTTTATATAATTTAAAACCTATTTCTTTTTTTTATTATTTGACAAAAAGTTTATTGAAATGAAGCCATGAAGTTTATTTAAAAAAAAATGTTTTTGTAAATTTATATAAATCGTTGCAGTATCCATTTTAATTTTTAGATATTTTATAAAGGAAACCATTAAATAAAGCATTATGTGTTTTAAACAATTAAATTAAAAAATTGAATTTTAAACAGATTTAAAATAAATTTGTCATTTTCATTTTCAAATATCAACCCCCAATTTTTTTGCGGACCAAAATATATTTTCACAACCACAATATTTTGTTGATTTAAATATATATGATACTTTTGATATCATATGATATTTTTTGATGTATTATTTGGCATTAATACATTGACTGGCAATAGAAATACCAGGAATTAAATGTAAATACAACGACTGAGAATAACGGTTCCGTTTATGGTTTTAGTCACGATTAAAAATCATAAAAGACAAGTATAGTATTATTTCGTCAAAAAGTGTTCAGTTTAACTAGGAGGCTTTAACGTCGTGTAAATCAAGTAATGTTCTTCCGTTCTAAACGGACTAGGAAAGAAAACAGTGCTAGGGGACCTCATGTATCACTCA